ACATGCCATGATGTAATCTATCTTCAAGTCTGTTTTCAAGTTACACTGTGAAATATGCCACCCTTTTGAGGTGGTCATCAAAGACACAGATTGCTTGTTGTTTAAACAAGTGTCCTAAAGCATGTATCTGAAGTTATATTATTTTTTATTCTAAAAAGCTATGCATCTTATATTCTGAAAACTATTAAAACATAAACCACTGTTAATGTAATTTGTGACCATTCTTTTCTTTTTGAGAGGTTTTTGCTATAGGGCGCATGCACTCACCAGAGAGACAGAAAGCGAGAAATCACCTCCCAGGGGGGATGGCCATGCCGCAATCCCTTCTCCTCCATTCTCCTCTTGGGATCTTGGGTGGGCACGCACGCACACGTGCCCGGCCTGAGTTTAAGCCACCAGGTCTGGGACTTGAACCACGGTTGACTATATGGGAGTCTAGCAATATAGCCATTACGCCAACTGCTGGTCCCAATTTGTGACCATTCTTAACAGAGTATGACAGGGGATTGATATTGTCTGATAGATCAGTCAGCCTTCACTAGTTTATACAGTGCTGACATGGCTCCACAACATGAATGTTTTACCACAGTGAGGGTTTATGACTCACTGTGTTCATGCCCATGGTGGGTGAACACAATAGGCTAGTTTCCTGGCAGAGGGAAAAGAGAAAACTGGCAGAACTATACAATGGCTCAAAGATTCTGCTCCTTAATGACACACCTCTTCCACCCAAATTTCACTGGCCATAGTCCTCTATGGGGCAGGAACTTTGTATTCCAGCATGGTTTCGTCTGGGAGGGAACACCACCATCATTAAGACAATGATGCACTCTGTACCTACCTTTAGTTGGCAGGTATTAAGATGTAGCTTCCTAACTGGTACACCCAGATTCCCTAGGCCTTGGGACCATAGAAATTCCAGTAAGCAGGCACCTGAGAGAGTAATTTTCAAGTCATGGTGTGATGGGATAAGGGAGCAGTGTCACAGGAGCCTATCAGTGTCACAGAACTGATGAAATGGCCTTTGGTCCAGGGAAGACACTTCTACTGAGAGGCCACAGTGGAACATTTGGAGGTACCTTTAGCCTGGCTCAGCAAGGGCACAGCGATACCCCTTTGGGACAGCAGGGGCAGAAGCTGGCAGCACTGCCTGGCTTCCTTGAACTCACTGTGTTTATGTGACTTGAATGTGACCCTCGATTCCTATCTGTGGGTCACCTTTCCTGGCTATTGTCCTGAGCCCTGGGGCAGCAGGAAAGCTTGGCCTGTCTCTTGCACTGGTTTATCTACAAAATAAACTACCAAAATTGAAGGAAAAAAAAACAAAAACTAAGAATGTTCCTGAGGGTTTGGAGGAATGGACAGAAATCTACCATTTTGATGCTAACTGTACTGACAATTGTGTCCTGTATCCCCTACTAACTACTCCTATCCAAACTACCGAGTCTCCTTCACTAAGATGTGGGCAGCTGCACTGAGGCCTGTCAGTGCCAGGCCTCTCCTGACCACTCCCTTTGGTGGTGTGATGACATCCATCTGGAAATCACAATAGCCCAAGGCCAACAGCTGCTGACACTCCCCAGGCCTCTTCTAATTCACTGCCTCTCCTTTAAAATGATTTTTAAAAAAACCACCTGAGGCCTTGGAAAGGCAGATACCCTGCTTATCTTAACACTTTCTTCTCTAAAACTTTGAGCTGCTTCTAGATAAGATACCCTTAGCCTACTGGAACTCCCCCTTCCCCCAAACTCCTTAATAAAGACTGTACTTAACCCTCACTCTGGGCCAGAGCTTCAGAGTGTTAACTCCTCTGTGCCCATTGGCGTTAACAATAGAGAGCACTCCTATGGGGAGTGTTGCTTTTTGTCCCTCCCTTGACCATTTGTTTTCCCTGCAACAATTAAACAGGTTTAAGCTCTGACATTTAAGGAATGGCAACAGGAAACAATATGCTTTATGCTCTCTCAGTAATCTCATTTTAGTAGCCTCAACCATTTCTAAGCAGAAGGCCTGCAAGAATCTCCATGTAGGGGTCTAGTAAAGACTACTATCTGGCATTCTCAGTTATATTATCTGCTGGAGCTCTGCTTGGGTGATAAACACATTTTCAAATGTCACTCTGTCTTAAATCCCCCATTCCAAATCTTTTCTCTCCAATATTCCCTATCCGCTTGACCATTTCCAACAACCACCTTTGTTTTTTTTTTTAAAAAAAAAGTGATTTGTTTAAAAAAAAACCTTGGAGCTCAACCTATATATCTGCCTCCATCTCCATCCAAACTCCAGACAAACTTATTTTCTGGACATAAACCTTCCGGACATTTAGCCTATCCTCCTTTCTCTTTTGCTTCTACCGTAGCTGGGGCTCTTCTTGTACACTCTGGCCTGGCTTATTTCAAAGATATCCTAATACCTTTGCTTGCTTCACTTACTACTCACAACATCCAAGATCTTTCTAACTCCCCAGCTGGAAAACCCTTAAGATTTCTCTTCTGAAGAGAGTACTATTGGGAACCAGCAGTTAGCGTAATGGCTATGTCGCTGGACTCCCACGTAGTCGACCGCTGTTCGTGTCCCGGACCCGGTGGCTTAAAACTCACGCCGGGCGCGTGTGCGTGCGTGCCCAAGAGCCCGAGAGGAGAATGGAGGAGAAGGGACTGCGGCGTGACCATCCCCCCTGGGGGGTGATTTCTCGCTTTCTGTCTCTATGTCTCTCTCTGTCTGTCTGGCGAGCGCACGCGCCCTACAGTGAAAACTCTCTCCAAAAAAAAAAAAAAAAAAAGAGTACTATTCAAGCTTATCTTAGTGTGATGACTTCTAAAGCTCTTGCCAAGTCTCCTGTCCCTTCTCTTCTACCATCTCCACCATGGTTGGGTCTGATCACAATGAACTACAGTTTCTGGAATCTCTTAACTACTATTAAATTATAGAGTAAGGGTCAGCCCTGAAGTTTAGCTGGACAGAGGAAGCCCACCACCAGAAGCTTGAAAAACACACCCAGCACATATGCACGCTCAGGATCCTGATGGGAAATAGGAATGAAACAAAAGGGGACTGCAGCATGACAAAGCCCCGAGGAGGATGGGGGTACTTTCTCTCTGCTGAGTGCACATACTATCTGGCATTACAAATATGAAAAAGTTGGGAACCAGCAGTTAGCGTAATGGCTATGTCGCTGGACTCCCACGTAGTGGACCGCGGTTCGTGTCCCGGACCCGGTGGCTT